GGTGACAGCAGCCACGAAATTAAAAGACGCCTGCTTCTTGGGAGAAAAGCAATGACAAACCTAGACAGCATCTTAAAAAGTAGAGACATCACCTTGCCAACAAAGGTCCGTATAGTTCAAGCTATGGTTTTCCCAGTAGTGATGTATGCAAGTGAGAGCGGGACCATAAAGAAGGCTGATCACCGAAGAATTTATGCTTTTGAATTATGGTGCTGGAGGAGACTCTTGAGAGTCCCATGGACTGCAAGAAGATCAAACATATCCATTCTGAAGGAAATCAGCCCTGAGTGCTCACTAGAAGGACAGATCCTGCAGCTGAGGCTCCAGTACTTTGGCCACCTCATGAGAAGAGAAGACTCCCTGGAAAAGACCCTGATGTTGGGAAAGATGGAGGGCACAAGGAGAAGGGGACGACACAGGACGAGATGGTTGGATAGTGTTCTCGAAGCTACCAGCATGAGTTTGACCAAACTGCGGGAGGCAGTGGAAGACAGAAGTGCCTGGCGTGCTCTGGTCCATGGGGTCATGAAGAGTCGGACACGACTAAATGACTAAACAACAACAACAAAAGAGTTCCAATAGGTCATTAATTGGGCTCAGTAATTGAGAGCTGGACCATAAAGAAGGCTGATCGCCGAAGAATTGATGCTTTTGAATTATGGTGCTGGAGGAGACTCTTGAGAGTCCCATAGACTGCAAGAAGATCAAACCTATCCATTCTGAAGGAAATCAGCCCTGAGTGCTCACTGGAAGGACAGATCCTGAAGCTGAGGCTCCGATACTTTGGCCACCTCATGAGAAGAGAAGACTCCCTGGAAAAGACCCTGATGTTGGGAAAGATGGAGGGCACAAGGAGAAGGGGATGACAGAGGACGAGATGGTTGAACAGTGTTCTGGAAGCTACTAACATGAATTTGACCAAACTGCGGGAGCCAGTGGATGACGGGAGTGCCTGGCGTGCTCTGGTCCAGGGGGTCACGAAGAGTTGGACACGACTAAACCACTAAACAACAACAACAAAAATTGAACCCTGTTTCAACAGGTTATTGGGCCCAGCTATTTCAACAAGGGAAATTAGTTTGTATAAATATACTCAGCCCCAATATGCGATTCAGCCTCATTTCCCCCTCACCTTTATGGTAATGGATTTGCAGCTTGGGCCAGTCCCATCCTGGACCCCTGTGCTCTGATAAAATGTACTTATTTTCTTCTTTATGCACAGGCTCTGCTGAAATGCATTTGTGGTTCAAAGCTTGCAGATCAACAGGTTCGAACTGCAGTAAGTTGCGGCATATAGACAGTGCCTCTGTCAGCAAAAAGCAGTGCTAAGTGGCTCTAAAGTACGAAGACTAAAATGTCATTCTAGTCCCCCAGGAGATGCTGGTGCCCTTGGGACTGTCTGTGGCTGCCAGTTTGATGGTGCCATGCGAACTGGCCTTGTCAGGAGTCACAGAGAGGGAGCAAATATGCAGAGGATAAGAGATGAAGAGAACATAAGGCAATGCACATTAGGGCAGAATCTCTCCCAGGGGACTAGTTAATTTTAAGTTTCTTTGTTAACAGTTTCATAGTGTATTAGTCTTTGACCTTGCTGGGCTCACCGGAGACTATCGTAGACATACCTTCGCCTCTTCCTTGCTCTCTGCTTTTAATTTTCTCCAAGATTAATAAAAGACACCGAAGAGCTCCTGTAGGAATTAGGGTCTTGGGCAGTGGGAAGGAAGAGATGAGTTTTGTCCCTTTTTACAGTCACCGATAAAGAATTATGGATATACAAGGTAGGGAAAGAGTTGGTGAGGATCAATAGCAGATAGCAGATAGGACTCTGCTAGATTCATGCGATTTCCAGTTGTTTGGCAAGAAGTTCTTCATTCCAAATTGTGTTTAACAATTGCGGCAGAACTTTATTGATTTAAAAGCATTTATCAACCTCTCAAGATTTCAAAAATCTCTGCGTGGTGTATAGTCTAAAAAGCAAACGATATATCATTAAAGCATTCTATACATTACACACAAAAGCACCAAAGGAATATGAGCGAAATCCAATAAACAATGCTAGTGCTGTGTGAATGAGACGGAACGGGTGGCAGTGGGAGCAGGTAGCTCCAGCTTCCAAGCTTTCAACCCGGCTCTATAAAACTGATTTTAATTTTTTTAACCCTATAAGTAGGGCTTCTTTTTCTAGCTGGAGCTCACCAGCACCTCTCAGGTGGGCACCATTGTCATTACTGTGGTACCTCAGATTACAGATGCTTCAGGTTACAGACGCTTCAGGTTACAGACTCAGCTAACCCAGAAATAGTACCTCGGGTTAAGAACTTTGCTTCAGGATGAGAACCGAAATCATGCGGTGGCGGCGGGAGGCCCCATTAGCTAACGTAGTACCTCAGGTTAAGAACAGTTTCAGGTTAAGAATGAACCTCCAGAACGAATTAAGTTCTTAACCTGAGGTACCACTTTAGCTAATGGGGCCTCATTGTGAGAAGTGAGGTTACAAGGAACCAGGCAGAGGGCCTTCTCAGTAGTGGCGCCCACCCTGTGGAACACCCTCCCTTCAGATGTGAAGGAAATAAGCAGCTATCCTATCTTTAAAAGACATCTGAAGGCAGCCCTGTTTAGGGAAGTTTTTCATATTTAACACTTGATTGGGAGCCGCCCAGAGTGGCTGGGGAAACTCAGCCAGATGGGCGGGGTATAAATAAATTATTTTATTATTATTATTATTATTATTATTATTATTATTATTATTACAAGGGAGGCATTTGTGGTGAGTTCCGGCACCTCTTTTTCTAGCAAAATGGCACTACCTATAACCTTCCTGTATAAGGTGATCAGCAACTGGAAGTTTGTGCAATAAATTCTACTCTTGCCTGGTTCACAAATGGCCCAGCAACCAGTACTGCCTCACCCTTTGGCTTCCTCTTGCCCACCTCTTTGGTTTCCTCTTCTGTACTGTTGCCTCCACCAGGACAGGGTGGAGTAGGAACCCATAGGGAATTTTTCTCTCTGCTGCACCCTGACGATTAAGAAGCAATAGGGAAAGGTGGGGTGGATCAGTAGGCTGGGGCCAGTGATGAATTTTGTGCTCCATTCAAGCTCTCCATGGTGGCGGCGGATCCTTGCATTTCTCCCCTCCCAGACACAGAGCTTTGATTTGCATCCCTAGATTATCGCCGATGTGCTGGAGTGGCATTGCACAGCAAGTCTCCAAGGCCCTCCTCTTTCCATTTGCGCTGAGTTGCTCTCTGTTTTCCTCCGCGTGCCCTTGAAGCAAAGGCAATTGGTTCCTCCACTTCTCTTTGCATCTGGGACATGGCTGCTCCCACCCCATATGGGCATGTGAGGCGTTGCCAGTTGCCTGGGTAAATCACATTAACAACTCAAAGGCCAGCGAGGCATTTGAATCAGGACTGAATAGGGCCAGACTCCCTCTGGAGCCCCTTTCCCCAGCTCCAATGTCACCACGTCAACAGGAATGGGCAATAATAATAAGTCATTGCTGAATCGTGGGGTTTGGGCTCTCTTTCATTTCACTTGCATGGGTACAGAACAGCCTATTGGAGAACAGGAGTCAACTTTCAAAGATTTTCAAAGGAGTAGGGCTGTAGCCCAGTGCAGAAGGTCCCAGGTTCAATTCCTGACATCTCCAAGTATGAGTGAGAAAGACCTCCTGTCTGTAACCCCAGAGAGTCGCTGCCAGTCTGTGCAGACAAGCCAGAGCCAAATGGTCCATTGGTGTAAGGCAGCTGGCTATGTTCCTTCAAATGCTCCACTATGGCAAGGCCTCTGTTGCTGAGTTTATTTGCAAATAGCAGAGGCATACGGGGTGCCTTGGCCTTCGGAACAGTGATGGGCAACCTGTGTCCCTACAGCTGTTGGTGGGCTACTGCTGCTACCAACCCGACCATTGACCGTGCTGGCCCAATGTCAGGGTCCGTGCTGAGGATGGCTGCACTGAGGAGGAATGGTGGGAGCCTCCTCCTCCTCCTCCTCCTCCCCATGCTCCTGATCTGGATCCTGAAACTTCCCAGGAGCAGGAAGACAGTATAGATTTGGAACAGTGGTTTGCAGAGGGATATAGTTCAGAAGGCAGAAGCTGGGAAATACTGGATGGGGAACAGCTAGGAGAAGAAGCACTGGGGGAGAGAGAGTTAACAGATTCACTGTCTCCGGAAAGCATTCATCCACTCTCCCTAAGGTCAAGAAGAGCTGAGAAAGTTGCAGAACAGAAAGCACAGAGGGTACAAACTCAGGTTACAAAACACAGGAGTGACGTGGATGACTAGGGATGTGAGCGGTGGGATTCTTAATTGGGAGCACCGCCATTCCTAGGAGATGGGTTATTTGTTCTCTCGCTGTGATCACTAAAGTTTCTAACTGGTAAGAAGACTCATTTTCCTTTGTTCTGCTTATCTACTGCCACGGGGGAGGGAGCCTGACACCCAACAAGGTCTGAGCATGCTCAGTGGCCAGTGAATGCTGACTGTTGGGGAAGCGGAAAACAAGCGAAGCCAGGTGAGTGGGGAATAAAATGGAATATCATAGAGGAGGCAAATGGCTTACTGACTTGGACAGTGCTTCTTCACCCAGTGCATAGTTAAACTATGGAAGATGTAGAGATGGCCACCAACTTGGATGGCTTCAAAAGAGGTTCAGACAATACTAGCTGTTTTATCTCCACTATCAAAGGGAGGAATGTTTCTGAATCCCAGTTGCTGGGAGCCACAAGTGTTGAGACGGCTGTTGCACTGAGGTTCTCATTGAGGGCTTCCCATCGGAGCATCTAGTCGGCCGCTGTGAGAACAGGATGCTGGATGGGCCTTTGGCTTGATCCCACAGGGCTCGCCTTAAATTATTCTGCTCTTAACAGTGATGAGGAATAGCCCACAATGAAACATTTCATTGCAGGTCCCATTTGTGCATGGCATAGGAACATCCTACAGATATGGTGAGCTTGCCTATGAGAGAGAGAGAGAGAGAGAGAGAGAGAGAGAGAGAGAGTACTCTGTCGGTAGAGCATGAGATTCTCAATCTCAGGGTTGTGGGTTTGAGCCCCACACTAGACAAAAGATTGGCACTGCAGGGCGTTGGAATAAATGACCCTTGAGGTCCCTTCCAACTCTACAGTTCTATGCTAAGGTATCCCACAGTGACTGGGGAGAACTTGGGTTTAAACACCCACCCAATAATAAACCTCGCTGTGTGACCTTGTGTTAGACATTGCCAGGGTCCAGGAGTGTAGAAGTCTAGAAGTCTGTTTCCTCTTGTCCAAGAGGACTCCAAAACAGGAGGGGATAGGAACTCAGCGCCAACCCCAGAAGTGCTGCTAGCATCCCATTTCCCTCTAGCCTGGCATTATCATCCATGAAGTTGTGAGAACTTGGGAGGTTGTGGACTCTCCTTCCTTGGAGGTTTTGAAGCAGAGGTTGGATGGCCATCTGTCATGGATGCTTTAGTTGAGATTCCCGCATTGCAGGGGGTTGGACTTGACGGCCTTTGGTGTCCCTTCCAACTCTACACTTCTATGATTCCATGACTCCATTGCAGATGCCCCAGCAAGACCTCAGGTCCCTTGAATTAGAGTAGCACTTTCCTGTGTGTGTGTGTGTGTGTGTGTGTGTGTGTGTATGGGTGGGCAGGAGGAACTAACTATTTGAATGCAGCTCCTTCTGGTTTGTTATTGGGCTCAGCAACAGCAGAGCTCTGTGCTTCTAGAGCGCTGTATCCAGCCTAGGTCTTGTCGTGGAGTAGGACTGTAATAATCTCTCAGCTGAATGTACCTCACAGTATAGTTGTTGGAGATAAACTGGGGATAGCGCCCTTCTTGTAGCTCTTTGGAGGGCTATAAATGGAACACATTCTCTTTCCAGAATTCTAAAGTGGTTTAGCTCTGAGATATCTGTGCTGCTTTCCTTTTTTAAAAATTATTATTGCATACTGAGAGCCAGTGGGGTGTAGTGGTTAAGAACGGTAGACTCGTAATCTGGTGAACTGGGTTCGCTTCCCCGCTCCTCCACATGCAGCTGCTGGGTGACCTTGGGCCAGTCATATTTCTCTGAAGTCTTTCAGCCCCACTCATCTCACAGAGTGTTTGTTGTGGGGGAGGAAGGGAAAGGAGAATGTTAGCCGCTTTGAGACTCCTTCGGGTACTGATAAAGTGGGATATCAAATCCAAACTCTTCTTCTTCTACTTGTCATACAGTATCTAGCCCAGACCCTCCAAGTGTCCCTATTTTCCTGGCGCTGGCCCGGATTTACGGAAGCTGTCCCAGTTTCTGATTTGATCCTGGAATGCCCCGCTTTTCCCTAGGACGTCCCTATTTTCATCGGAGGAATGTTGGAAGGCATAGTAGGATGTTGTTATTTTCATCAGAGGGTGTGGAGTTATGTGACCTCTGAGCGAAGGAGATAAGTAACTATACAATCTTTAGAAGACATATGAAGGCAGCCCTCTGTAGGGAAGTTTTTTTTTAATGTTTCATGTTTTATTATGCTTTTATATATGTTGTAAGTTGCCTAGAGTGGCTGGGGCAGCCCAGCCAGATGGGCAGGGTATGATGATAGTGATGATGATGATGATGATGGAATAAGACATGCCTATTTTCATCAGAGAAATGTTGGAGGGTATGCTAGCCTGCTGGCTGCTAAGTAGGAGCAGGAGTGAGAGAAGAGTATCAGCTGCTCTGAGTGACCTGAGATTTACTTCGGGCCCATCCTTAAATTTCCCCATTTGATCTCATCAGCTTGGTCGAATCACTAGCCAAGGCCCAATAAAGCCAAGCGGAGCGTGGCACGTAAATTACAAGCCATTGTCTTTGTGCTTTACATGCCTAATTTGTTTACCACCTCCATTGCGCAGCCCGGCAAACAATTAAGCTTCTGCTGGGGTCAAAGGTGAAAGCGCTGACGTCCAAACGACTTGTCTCGTAGTTCAGCATCCACCATGATTGAACTTTAGAGATCAACGCTAACAAGGGGAGCGCAGCTACGACGGTTCTCTTTGTTGCACACCCGCGGAAAATTAAGCTCATCCCTGGAATTAACGCCACTCACAATTGATGGTGAATTTATGGTTTTGCAACTGACAAATTGCAATAAAAAAAAATGGGTGTGGGGAATAAAATCAACGGATTGGGCTGGGAAGCCAGGGAGACTGTCTTCCAATTAAGTGGGATTTCAAACACCATAATTCTTGGGGGGACTTCACCTTTTCCCTTTTTCTTTCCAGAGGTATTGAAAAGGTCAGGTCTCTCTGCAAACTAATGCCAGCCGTCAATACAACTCATGATGTTTAATGAGCATTTCACGCAGCTTCATTACAGCTTCTCCATGCAAACAAACAAGAAAATCCTCTGGTTCTACTTTGTCTGGAATTTCATTATGGTACAGGTTTTGGGTAGACACTTCTTTCAGCCTGCATATGCAACAAGCACATTATTTCCCCCTCTCAAATCCTGGGAAACACAGTTTGTGGAGGGTGCTGGGGATTGTACCAGGGTGTGGGGTAAAATACAGTCCTCAGACAGGCAGTCTAGGGGGTTTGGAAGTTTCTCCCCATACAAACCCCATCAGCCTTAATTCAAGCAGTTGCGCCCCAACACTTCCAACATACCCTACACACTGCTTCTTTGGGCTCTGGCTAGCACCCAAAGATCCTTTTGTATGCTCCCAAGCCTTATGAGGCTTCTACAACTGTCTCTTCCATCTGTGGCTCTTAGTCTTGGGCTAATTTCTGGGGTGGAGGTCATAACTTAATGGAAGAGCATATGCTTTACGTTCAGATGGACAGGTGATCACCTGGAAATCTCAGAGATGAGGCCTTGGGTTCCAGAAATAAGATGAGCTTGCTGGATCAGATCAGTGGCCTATTTTGCCTAGTATCCTGTTCTCACAGTGGTCATCCAGAAGATGAACATGAGCACAACAGGTATTCAGAGGCACAATGCTATCATAAAGCCAATACGATTCCCTTATCCTCCATGAATTTTTCTAACCCTCTTTTAAAGTCATCCAAGTTGGTGGCCATTATTGCCTCCTATACTTTATCTCTGTGTTGTGTGTGTGTGTGTGTGTGTGTGTATCTTCCTTTTTGTGTTATTCCAATTGTAGTAGTATAAGCTCTCTGTGGACGAATACTGGCTCCCTTGGCCTGAGGTGAGCACCACACCCCATAGGCAAGTTTGGCTGGACTTAACCACCCATGGGTCCTTTATTATTATTATTATTACTACTACTACAGGAATATAGTGGTACCTTGGTTCTCAAACGCCTTGGTTCCCAAACACCGAAAACCCAGAAGTATATGTTCCAGTTTTTGAACAGCCTTGGACACCTCTGATTCGAGCAGACAGGCGAAAAGACACGTTGCCAGCAAGTGACGTCATCAGTGAGTGAGGGAAATGTCTCCGCTAGCAAGGTCCATTTTAAACCTCCCCTCTTCTCATTCCAAAGGAATTGACGTTATCCAGTGAACAACTCAGTGAGCATTATTATGGCATTTCTGATTAGCTTTGTTAAGCACATGTCTAGCACTGCAATGTATGAAGCACTTCAGGGCCACCGGTTTTAATAGCAGCTCGGCAATAATGATCCATAAAAGACAAGCGGGAAGACAGTTCTTCATTTTGCTTCTTGAACTGTAGGTTGCTGGGTGGGGTTTTTTTTGCACGGAATTTCTCTGCTTACGGAAGGCCGCAAAAATATCATTCTGTGATTGTCAAATGGTTTAGGTTTCCTGCTAGGCTGGGTCAGTGCCAAAGTGCCTAGTGCAGAAGGGCTGTAGCCCAGTGGTAGAGCATTTCTTTTGCATGCAGAAGGTCCCAGGTTCGATTCCTGGCGTTTCCATGCCTGGAACCCTGGAGAGAAGCTGCCTGCCAGTGTAGACAATACTGAGCTAGGGGGACTTGGCCCTAGGCAGCTCCCTATGTTCAGTTAGAGCCCTTAGCTAGGAATTGCTTTGAAACCCTCCCTTGGTGTCATCAGCAGCTGAAGAGCATGGGCCAGGCAGCAGGCAGAGTGCCATTCAAGCAACGCAAAGCCACTTCCGACACCAGGAGAAGGTGGTGTTGCAGGCTCACGCCCCCAACAATCGTGCGGTGGCTTGCTTCAGCCCCGCGCAATCAGGGAAACCCTGGGCCGCGTCAGCCCCAGAGCGGCCTGGGTCATTTAAGGCTGGCGTGGCCCCGGGATCTCCCCTTTTCATCCACGCAGCTGATTCAGTTTCCCACCCATCCACCCTTTAGGTCTTCCTTCCGACCTTGCTATGGACTTCAGTTGGTTGCCGTTGAGGGGCCTGGTAGGAATTTTTTCCATTTGGCAAATTGGCACTGGCCATTTGGTTTTTTGCCTACCTCGTAGCAAATCGTCACAACATCTTTGGTTATGGCGGTTAGGCATTGGTAGGGGTATTATTATGTAGATGTGTTGGGGGGGAGCACCATCACCTCCCCCAAATATTTAAGGGTAGTCCAGTAAAGGGGCGTTGCCTCGTCCGAAACCTATGGGGGCCAGGGCCTAGAGCACGCCCCCGAGCGGTGACCCCGGGGGGAGTTCCTAGTGATGTGCATCACAGGGCTCCCCCTGCTGGTGTTAACCCTTTCCGGTTTTCATGCTAACAGGCTGAAGCCGGATAGTCCAATGCCTAAGCCAATACCGCTCTTACCTGTAACCAATAAAGTTGTGGCCACTTTTTGCCCATTAACCTAAAATAATGGTGTCCTGTGTCTTTATTTATTTCAACTGGTGGGAGGCGGGAATCGCCACGCAACTCCGAAAGCCACTCACTTTTGGGCACGCAGCATTAGTTGCTCAGCTCTTTGGATCCCGGCTGGTATTTCTGTTCACCGAAGAGCGCAAGGAACCAACCTGCCTGAAGAATTCAGCAGAACGTTTTGAATGCCTCCATCTGCGGCGTTCGATTTGTCACTTTAAAATCAAAAAGAAGCTCAGTACATGTTTGGATGCTGGCTATAGAAGGATGGTATTTCAGAAGACAGACAAGCCCCCCCCCCCACACCGCCAATCTTCGTTTAAGGGAACTAGCAAAGTATGCCCAGTTCTTTTACCATCTGTTTATATTCACAGCCACCTCTTCGTATTGTGCCAAAGTTCCTTGGGCTTTCAAAAAGCAGTCTGCTTGGATGCAGAAACCAGGGTGTGTGCATTGATAGGCATGGGGCTTTCGGGGGCTAGTTCACACATACATGCAATCGGTAGCAGGTTGGTCACCTGACTGCTGCTCAGTGGGAGGTGGACGGGGAAGTGGGGAGGCAGCAGTGTGCGAGCACTGGTGGAACCAATTTGTTGCTCCTGGCACTGTGTTTGCACTGCGTAGTGGCATAGTGTGGTGGAGGGATACTGGGGCAATTGCCCTGGGCACAAAAAATAAAAGAGGGGCATGCCTCTCCAGGAGAAAGCAATGACAAACCTAGGCAGCATCTTAAAAAGTAGAGACATCACCTTGCCAACAAAGGTCCGTATAGTAAAAGCTATGGTTTTCCCAGTAGTGATGAATGGAAGTGAGAGCTGGACCATGAAGAAGGCTGATCACTGAAGAATGGATGCTTTTAAATTATGGTGCTGGAGGAGACTCTTGAGAGTCCCATGGACTGCAAGAAGATCAAACCTATACATTCTTAAGGAAATCAGCCTTGAGTGCTCGCTGGAAGGACAGATCGTGAAGCTGAGGCTCCAATACGTTGGCCACCTCATGAGAAGAGAAGACTCCCTGGAAAAGACCCTGATGTTGGGAAAGATGGAGGGCACAAGGAGAAGGGGATGACACAGGACGAGATGGTTGGACAGTGTTCTCGAAGCTACCAGCATGAGTTTGACCAAACTGCGGGAGGCAGTGGAAGACAGGAGTGCCTGGCGTGCTCTGGTCCAGGGGGTCACGAAGAGTCGGACACGACTAAACGACTAAACAACAACATGCCTGTGCAGCTGCCGCCCTGACTGGAGGTGCTCCTTTCTCACCTGTACGCCTCACCTGGGCAGCACACCGAGCAGGAGATGGGAGAGGACAGGCCCTTGCATCCCTCAGCCGTGTGGTGTTCCTCACTGGTGGGGAGGCAGGCAGACAGTGAGACTTGTGGTGGCGGCGGCAGCACTCACATACATGTCCCGCTACTGCTCTGTGGCAGCAGCAGTGCTGCATGGAGGTGCTGGTTAGGGGGTGCAATACTTCCCTTGCCATGGGCACAGGCAACACACGCTATGCCACTGGCACTGTGCTAAGCTTGGTACCACCTTGCCTCTCCACCTCCCAGTAAACAGCTGTGATGCAACCAATCAGAGGTCAAGTGAGTGCTGCCCCGCCCCCAGTCATCTGCTACTGTATGTAACATCACCTGAAGTTTTCCACCTGGATTGCTGCGCACTTAATGATTCGTAGCTGAATGTTGTGAATTAGGAGTCACCTGTGCGGTTGACCGCTGTGAGAATAGGATGCTGGACTAGATGAGCATTTGGCCTGATCCTGCATGGCCTTTTTTCTATGCTCTTCTTCTGTTGTGCATGGACAAAGCTGAACGTCTGATGCAGCTGTTGGCTATTGTTTCCGGGGCACTTGCACCAATCAGAAGCTGCGCCTTGGTTTTCAAATATTTCAGAAGTCATATGGACTTCCAGAACGGATTAAGCTTGGTGCTATTGTTTTTGCTATTTGTTTTGCATTTTTATTTTTGAGGCTTTTTCGGTTAATTTGTTATTGGGACTGTGTGGAACCCAGTCCAGCTACTGATTGATTGATTGATTGTGAGACTGCGGAAATGGATAAAAGCCCCCCATCCAAACAATGACTATCATCAGTGCAGGGAAGAAGAAAAATAAATTTTAAGTTTTATCATCTACAATACTGTCTTATTTATTTTATAGTACAGTACATTGATTATTGCTTTCATTTTATGGATCAATGGTCTCATTAGATGGTAAAATCCATGTTAAATTGCTGTTTTAGGGGTTGTTTTTAAAAGTCTGGAACGGATTAATCCATTTTGTATTACTTTCAATGGGAAAGTGCGCCTTGGTTTTGGAATGCTTTGGTTTCGGAACGGACTTCCGGAACAGAGTAAGTTTGAGAACCAAGTATTGTGCAACCATGTATTTTGGAACTTTTCTTATGGTTTACTTTACATTCAGGCAGGTTCCTGTTTCCCCAACCCTGCTCTGCCCTGATGTTGGGCTAATAGCAGCATTGGGTGGGGGGAATTTAGAGCAAGAAAATGGTGCACAGAAATGGCTTACATTTCCCCTCTGCCAGCACTTCTGCTCTGATCAAATCCGGACCCCCCACGCTTTAAAGTAAAAAAACAACAACAACCAAAAATGTCAGGAGATCTGATCACAGACCTGCTGCCTCATGTTGTAGTTTGGCATGGAGAAGAGACTTTCTTGGTGAATGGTGTCCACAGTCTGATTTGAATAGCAGATGTCAGGCCTTATACTCATGCAGTTACAGTAGCTTGCCCGTACCTAGTAGCCAGAAAGAAACAGATGGCAATAAAGGGATGTGGCCAAAAAATGAAGCTGGAAATAGGGAATCACAGAGAGAACATTTTTTGTTATTCCCTCCCCCCCTCAAGCCTGACTCATTTTTGACTCTAGAAAAATCCAGCTTTCTCATACTGGAAATATTTGGTTCGTTCAGCAGGCTGGTTTCTACACACCCAGCCTTTCTGTCCTCTATCTGGGTGAGCAAAATGCATGCCTAGAGTTCAAAGACACATTTCGCCATGCAAACATGTTCAAAAATGGTTTGAAACAGGGCTGGTGAGGTGTGTGGCCAGGGCCAGATTGAGGTTCGATGAGGCCCTAAGCTACTGAAGGTAATGGGGCCCTTTATATGTCCAGCTGTTCTTTGTCAACAACAAATCGTCGCTTTTGTGTGTGTTGAATATATGCTATATGGTCATTTATGGACCGAATAGGTGTTTAAAGCCATTTGCACATGTTGCAATTCAACCAGTCCATGCAGAATGTAGGCACCCTATACAGTGGTACCTCGGGTTAAGTACTTAATTCGTTCCAGAGGTCCGTTCTTAACCTGAAGCACCACTTTAGCTAATGGGGCCTCCTGCTGCTGCCGTGCTGCCGGAGCACAATTTCTGTTCTCATCCTGAAGCAAATTTCTTAATCTGAAGCACTATTTCTGGGTTAGCAGAGTCTGTAACCTGCAGCATCTGTAACCTGAAGCGTATGTAACCCAAGGTACCACTGTGTATAGAAATGAGCAAACCAGTGATATTTTAGGGAGCAGGCTAGCAGGCGGGGCCCATGACTTACATCATAGGAACCTACACAACACAAAACACTGTTGCTGTATGTAGGTTTTATTTCATTTGTTTTTTATCTTATATTTTGGAAATGTACATCCTTTTTTTCCCCTTTAATTTTTTGGGGAGCCCCCAAGAGAGTGGGGCCCTAAGCTATAGCTTGTTTAGCTTATACGTAAATCTGGCACTGTGTGTGGCCTGAGGATGGGGTGTACTGCTGAGATGGGTGGTGTGGGGAGACTCCCAGGGGTCTGATAAGGAGGATGCGGTAGTGAATTTGGCCCCTCGACCCTGAGGTTACGCTAGAATGCCCAGTACAGCAGTGTTCCATGACATTGTGGGAAATTAAAATGGGCACTCACCTCTGTAATTGCCAGGGAACCTGTGGCAGGGGGTGGGCAGGGCAAGCATCTATGCCAGTATAATAATAATAATTTATTATTTATATCCCACCCATCTGGCTGGGTTTCCCCAGCCACTCTGGGCGACTTCCAACAAAACACTAAAATACAACAACCTATTAAATATTAAAAGCTTCCCTAAACAGGGCTGCCTTCAGATGTCTTCTAAAAG